GTAAATTTGACCGTGGAGAATAGACGCGTTTAATGTCTCTAATTATGCTCGTATCCCGAGACAATTAAGGATGCACTTATTCCGTAGCTGACGGAAGTTCTTCCCACTTTCCGGGGGAGTGCAAACGAGAATAGGAGGAGTAGTCCGTTATCGCGCAATGGATCGCCCGCTCCACGCTCCATATCGTTTTATTCGATTGCCGTTGCCGCCATTTCATTGTTCCGTTGCTTTCGAGACAGAGAAACGGTGGACGGCTGTATCGGCGATCGTTGTTTTCGCGAAGACAAACGGCGAACACCGCTTGTCCCCGATTTCACGTTATGCAAGAAAGTTCGTCCGGCGTGTAGCACGCGCGTGTGCGATGTCTCGCTTCCTGCAGGAGCAGCTGCCGTGAAATCGCGGATCACGGCCGCGGTGTGAAATCGCCGCTTGTCCCCTTCAGGCTGCTGCTCCCGTTTCGTACAGATTTTCAGCCGGCGTTTCAATTCGCGATCCACGTGCCCGCTTTTTTATATCTTCGATCTACTCTCTCTTCGTCAGAAAAAACCACTCTTTTCCCTTTGCTTTTACTTTGTTCTTATCCTTTCATTAAGCTGCTAAGTGTTTATGGTCGTCAGTCGACGTTTCTATGTTCATAGTTTATTTATAATTTGTTCATGTAACTTGGCTATATGGACGTTAAATTGATTTGTCTTTAAAATAATTTTGTGTGATCCTTCAGCAACTCATCTGAAGACTACAGTAAGAGGGTCTTCGGATGAACAGACTGTTGTATTAGAAAAAGATAGACGAATTCTACGAGAGCAACAAATTCGTGCTATTCGTCAGAAAACATCCTAAAGTATCTGCTGTAGTAAGCTGCTGTAAGAGCAGCCTAACAAAGGAAGCATTTTAAGCAGTCTGAGTGAAGGTGTACTTCAAACCTCCAAAGTCTTAGAACTTCTCTTCATCCTTATGATATTGTAATTTTAGGTAAACTTGAAAGACGAATACTTAGATGCAGAAGCAAGAGGGTGTAGGAACAAAGCGCAGACTCGAGGTCCGAGGCAAACGAAGGGTGATTTATGTGTCCGCTGGCGTAAAAGACAGGGTATCATGGGATCGGTTTTTGCCGCGAATCGGCACAATCTCCTGGAGGCAGGTTCCGCGTGTACAGGAATGTGCAAGCAGTGCAAAGGGCGGCACATCTGCGCCGAGCAGCGAAAAGACGGAGGGACGCGCGTGCGTTTAGCGGCTTGCAGGTTGGTCGTGCACCGGGTTAAAAGGAGGGTGCATATCGCGAGATAGGATCGGACGCGGTAGCCGCGTACGACCGGCTGTAGCCGAGATAAGAATCGAACCGAACGAAGGAGGCCAACCCCTTTCGGCTGACTTTTCAACCACCTTGCAACGATTCGGTTCGTATCGCGGGAGGATCTATCGTCTCCCTCGCATTCGCGGCCCGCCTTATACGCTGCCTCGGAACGATATATCGCCATCTGTAGCTCATTAGCTTAAGCGGTACAAAACAGAGTAGCATGGTATCTCGCCTCGGTTCGCTGCGTCTTGTCGCTCGCCTACCCTCTCGAGTACGCGCGATTCCGCTCTTCTTGTCTCGGATATCGTGCTAGGCCGCTTAACGGCCATTATACGGATTATTACCTTACTCCTCGAGTGGAAAACCGCCAACTGACGACCGTCATGGCTCCCGGAACGAAGAACGAACTACTTTTTACTTCGTGTCGACTTGCCTGTTGGCTACTTCCGTCGGTTCACGCCCAGAATATGTGCGAAACCGCTGCCGCCTTCCGACATACTGCTTTTCAACTGCCTGTCACTGTTCTGCTTTCAGAAAATTTTGTAGTTTCTTTGTGAAATTAAATCAGGTTATTGCTAGTCGTAGCTGTCTTAAATCCAATTTGATTTATGTAGGCTTAGTTCAAACGCTACTTAAAATGTAGTCACGTATTCTTAACTGATTTCGAATATTTAATATCGTAAATCATCAAATATTTGCACTCGAGAGTGTAACATTAACCTTAATGTCTAGAGCAAAGTGTACCTGTATATTTATCACATACACAATCATTGAAGATTACATAAATTATTTATACTATCGAATGCCATATTCAGTTTCAGAGAGCCTCCAAAAGTGTAGTTGTAATTGTAAATAAATAACTAAAATAATGAATAATCAAAACAGCTACTTAGCAATGTGTTACAATCTAAAAATATCGTCGCATCTCGAACCGATGCGACGGCACTTTCCGACATAAAATTAGAACATCCTTACAATATGTGCAAATAAGCAATACAAACCTAACTGAATTGTAATTCACCAAACAATCAATTTTCACGTAGTTTTATTCGAACAGCACAATCCTTACCTAATTTCATAACGTTGTAGACACGGGTAGATTATGTAACCAGAATACGAACAAGTTACACGAGCATGTGAATTTTAATCCCCGTTGGTATTTGATACGCGGATTATATAGAATCGAATAATAAGCCGCTGACGCAAACAACGACCGCGAGTTGCACGCGCTTGGAATTACAATAATTAATCGGTGGAACACAACGCGCGTACCGCGAGATGCTTTCCGACAACTTTAATCAGTCTGGCAATGTCACCGATCGAGGATGCGCCACGTTTCGTGATTTCGTTCGTGCACTGAAATGACCACTGTCGACGATTCCCCTTCAAGAATTCCGAGCCCTTCGAAATTTCGCAGGCCTCCTCATTTGCTTACGGAACCGTAAAAGGAAGTGTCCGAAGGTTGCACGAACACGACGATACTCTTTACGCGGACGCCTCATTATCCCATTCGCATCAGATATCTTTTCATATAGGATTCTGGTAATTTTACTTTGTTCGATTTGATGATTTGGAGTTAATTTATTTTTGAGACATACTGCAGGTTTCGAGGTATTTATTCATAAGTGCTCCGCATAGTCGATTCGGTCATTCGATTAGTTTCTACCTTGCTGCGGACGATATTTTCAAAGTATACGCTCTCGTTTATTAAATATTTTTGAGCCCCATTTCATCATTTCATTTCATTTCTTTCACAAAAGAGTTCATCACTCTTCGAAATCCACGCAGTCGATTTGAAATATTTCATGATTCCTATTTATGGAATAAATCATCGGTTCGAAACATTTGCAGTCTCTAGTTCGTAGCCTCACTGCTTCAGAATTTACTACAGTCCTTTGCAATATTCCCAATCTCCATTTCATCGGTCAGCAATATTCTCAAAGTCCCACTTGTTCGTAGGCACACAGCTGCAAAGTCTACGCGACCATTTTGAAATTCGCTGTCGAAACGAATATAGGTAACCTGAAAAAAGCGAGGGAAGTGCAACGGTTAGAATATTTCTGGAATCGATGGAAATTGTGCGTGTCAACCGAAAACGGGGTTTGGAAGACCGGTGTGCGCGGTCGCCACCCACGCTGGCAGAAACAGCAAACGAACAGGTAGGTAGTACACGATATACGGTGGCACGACAATGGTCGCGTTTGTTGTCACAATGACAAGAAGGGAGCCGGTTATTGAAAGGCAAATGAGAGGCAGCGTTGCTCTTCCTCGGCTTTTAGTTCGTCATCTCCTTTCTGTCGCACACCCACATCCGCTGCCTTTCAAGTAGCACCCCCAAAACACACCTTACGCAAATTAATGTCGCACGCTAACAGATCCACGGCTCGGATGACCGGGACAACGAATCGGCCAAAGGACAGTCGGCTCGTCATCGTCTTTTAATAATGATTCATCGCCATACGGCGCGACTAATTGTTTACCAGTCGTTCACAAGCAACCTCACCACCGTGAACGCTTCTTCTGTCGTCGACACACGGCCACGCATGCATATGTATCCTCACGTGGCTTTCTCTTTTCTTTTCTTTCTGTTCGACTGCTATTTTATGGCTCGTTTTCTTGTTCGATTCGGTTCCTCGGTTTCCTGCTCGCTGTTCCGTTTCTTTCTTTCTCCTTCATCCCCTGGCAACCGATTCTCAACGCGTCACAACGTTTTTCCTTCGATACTCCTGGAAACTTTTCTGTTTCTTGAATAATCTCGTGTTCTTATTTGCATACGTCAATTAACAGTTGCTTGTGTATTTTCGAATGTTTGTTTGGGACCAAGTGTACTTTTGCTCTAATTGGAGTTTATTAAGGGTGGTTTATAGTGACGCGTTCTGTTATATCGATTGGGACTTGTAATCAACAATATCGTTTGTATACTGGATTATGATGTTATATCTACTCTTGTACAACGGCAAGATAAAAAACTACTGCAAAGTTTAATAAGTTGAACAAATTGTCTTGGGTTCAGTATCGTTAGAGTCATCTAGCGATCGACGGAGAAAATAACGAAAGAAGAAATTGAGTTTCTTCAAAAAATAAATGATTTTTGCATTCCATTGACGATAGTAAAACATTCTTTTGTTACTATGCAACTTGGGAAATGATATAGAATTTTAAGTTAAGCCTTAAAATCGATAATTTAAGTATTCGTTGAATCTCAGAAACACTACGCCATCTAGCGTTTCTGTCATTCATCAAAATATTAAGGTATTTTAATACCTTAAATAATGAATGATTAATTAAGTTGTAGTTTGAGTAAAAAATATTCTACTTACATCAAAAACGATAAAAAATGGTTTAATTTATGAAGAGAGAGAATTTTCTGTTTTGCTAGTTTTGTACTTCACTGCTAGGCGGCACCACAAGCGCCATTTTTAAGTTTTGTACTGATGTTCAAAAATTTATAAAACTAAAGTTAGTGCAATATTTTGACTGCATTAAATTAGCTTAAAAAAAGACAGGATATCTCTTGTTTCTGTACAGATTGAGATTTTACAGCAAATGGAATAAGATTGTAATTTATTCCAATGAGGTTACGTAACCAGAAGCTCAATAATAATTTATCTTAATTTAACAAAAAAGAGCTCTTGTTTCTTAAATCACAATTAAATTTTGATTCTTGGTTGCTAAAAAAAATGGAGACGAATCAGACCCAATCTTTACATCTAGATAACTTTTATTAACCAATATAATCGTATATTGTTACAAATGACGGCGGCACAGAGTGAGTGCCGCCCCAACGGATTACAATGAAACGGCGTGTTAACGTTATACAATCAAAAAATGGGAATTGATGAATGAGCGAATTTTTTTTTCATACGAGTGTTAACGGTCGTAATCGTCGCTATTCGACTTCAAAGAACAGCTTACACGACAACATGTAATTTGTAGAGTTTTATATCCTTTTTTCCTGTGAATCCTGCGCCTGTTCGAAAGCTCTTCCAATGAAGTTCCATCATCCATTCGATCGCTATCCTTCGTATATTTATTGTGTCTCTGATAGAGTCGTGATAATGTCGGTTGTTGTGCGCGGTTTGTTATTGTGTATGTGTACAAACTGTAATTATGCTCGAAGACATCGAAAACTCACTACGTAATGTTAAATGACGACGGGTCGCGGATTTGCTCGGTGCATTCTTGTTTCACGAACTAACCCAATTATTTTATTCTTCCGTTAATCTCCTCGACACCGAAACGCGTCAGCAGTCGCATAGTCGGTTCGGTAGCAAATCCGCGACTCGGTTAGGCTTACGGCTACTATCGAGATACTGATGTACATATACAAGAACCATGATTCACCTGTTCTCTAGAACACGGCTAGAGTATACAAAGACGTTGTTTGCCGAATAAAAACATTGTCGCACACGCATCGTTCCTCAGTCTCTCGCACAGGCACGCACACATGCACACGCGTTCTCGATAAACGTGGAAGGGTATTGGCTTCTCGTGCAGGATGTGGCTGCGATTACACCAATTTATATCAAACTGAATGAAAAATATATGCTCAACTTTTCTTTCACGAGTCTCCTGGGATTTGTAAATGTATTTTAGATTATGGGTGAAACTACTCTGTCAGTTAAGCATTCAATAAAATACAAAGTTGTCGCAACCACATCCCGCACTTTTATTCCGGAAATCGGCAGGGTTATTTGGTTCCCTCTGTATTTGCGCGTGCTTCGTCCTCGCTTCCTTCTCATCTCGTTTCCTCTTCCGTATGTTGGTCCTGTGTGGTGGCAGTGTGTCGTTAAACTAATTCTCTGTCCGTGTTGTTCCCCTTTAGGCTCTTTTTCTGTCTGGCACACGCAGAGCGTGGAAAGAGACTCGGAGGAAAGAACGCTTGCCCTTCTGGTTTTTTCTATCGAAATCAGCTGACGTATTACGGTTCTGTTTATGGGTTTCGGTCGAAAGGGGGTTCTATGCCGAAGGAGCGCGAATCGATGCAGTTTCGATATTTTATCACTTTGTCAACCGCAACCGTATCGATATTACTTTCAGGTTGAATGTCTTTTCGAGAACGAATCACAATTTCGAGGAAACGCACCCCCTCTCGCACCCCCTCAGAACAAAACTCACGAACGTAATTGCTTTTCGTTTCACAGACACTCTGCTGAACAATAATTTACTGTGCATCGTTTATTTACATGTTTGCACGAAGCACTCTGGCTTACAATCGTGCACATCGAAGTCAATAAAAGATCTCCATAATCGCATTTTTATATATATATATCTATCTATATATATAATATATATATACTTCTTAATTTTTTTGTCATATTTATATCATGTTACTTTTTAATAATGTCGTCTTGGAGTACAGTTACGTATTAGGGGCATGCAAAAGTTTCAATCTTCTTTTGCAAATCATTTTCAAAAAATTAACCGAGAATTCATGGTACAAAAGTATTCGTCCTAACATTTGACAATAAAATTTTCAAATATACTTGAGGTTGATACGTCGAAAAAAGGATTAACACTTTTGCATATACCTAATATAATTAATCTTTATGTATAATTAGTTTCACAACTTCCATTCTCTCGTTCCTCTCGCTCTCTCAATTATACATATGTCTAAGAATTAAAATATTTAGACTCGGATAGCTAGGTACGTAACTTCGACCGGGTAAACGTGTGTGGATTTCGGTCCCACGAGATCCGTGGAATGGATTTCTCAAAGTATAATCGCTATACAAACGTTCCCTTGTTTTCTGTATTCTCGACTCTACGATGTACGATATCCATTAACGCTTTCGTTGCTGGCTGTTTCTCGTGTAATTATGTTTCTGTCTTTACATCTTTATTTGCTCGTGACGCAAACGGTGCGTCGGCAGTATTATCGAAACAACTGGCGGGACGCAACGTGTGCGTCGTCGGCGACGAGAGCGTTAAGACGGCGAAAGAATCTGTTCTCGGTCGATGTTCGAGATGTTTGAAACTTAGCTAACCGACAATGGTAATAATAATCTTTCGTGTGATTCGAGGGTACGTGTGAATGAGCGTGAGTGTACGTGTGTGTATGAGATTCTCTACCTGTATACCAACTATAATTTCGTCTTCTTTATAATCATCTTTATGCATCCGTCTTAAAACAACGTCGTCTACAATATCTCGTTACTCTTTTAAATCCCTTAGCCTCGCGATTAAAATCTACATTCGTGGTTCGTCAATTGTCTCCTCTCCGCCGTTGGGGCGAACATCCTTCGATCGATATCTCGGATGTTCGATGTTACGAACGAAAAAACGAACGAATAAAAGGAAGAAAAAAGAACATCGCTCTCTACTCTTTTATACACACAATCATCGCTGCTCTTCTATTTTTTTTCTTCCTTTTCTTTTATTCATCTGTCCCCGTTTATACACTCGACTCAACACGTCAGCGACTCGCATATTTCTCAACGTCGTATCACGAACGTCGAAAGGGTGTGTATCGATAAACGATTCTAAAAAGTTAGAAACAATCTTTGTACTTTGCACGCAACGAGAATGAACGTTGGAATATACATATTTGGCGCGTTTCCTCTCCCTTTCCGTTTTCTTCCGAGTCTTTGTACACTCGCGTGCAACGATCTCCTCGACAAAGGGGAAATTATGATTAAATGAAGGAGAATGTTCCTTCGGAACACGTAACTAGATTCAATAAAGCTACTTATTAGACTCGTGTCTTAAATGCAATCACAATCACAGTTAGATCAGAGAGTATATATTTCAGAATAGACAGGTTTTGTTTAAGATTTAGAATCTTATAACGCTTCTTACTTTCATATTCGGTACGAAGGATCACAAAGTTAAAGGACTATCAAGGGACTAGTACATCAAGTTATTTGAATTCGAGATTCGAATTCATCGTCTCCTTATGGTTTCGTATATAAAATGTACAAGAAGTTTGCAATTGCTGTTACAAACATACATAGTCAAAAATCGTGCAATTAAGACGAACAGTGCGAAGGTTAGCATTCTCGTCGAAAGCATCGTTGCACGCGACTGTACTCGCGAGACTGAAACCGGTATACTTCTGACTTTGCTTGAATTCAACTTGAAACGAAACTACCACCCTGTTCTTGCATCGAGCCTCTTGTTTTACCATCGCGACAAAGAGACTACGGTTCCGTTTATAAAGCTATCGCAAATCATGCTAACGAAGTAGATACTCGTTCGTCAATGAGATGAAGAAGCTGGTTCGCTCTTGGTCTGTTTCGGAACGCTCGATTAGATGATTACGATGGATTTCTCGCGTTGGTCCAACGATCGGAGATCGTTCAGGTTTTTGGAGGGAGGTGGTCGAGAAATCGTCCCGACAAACTCGAAGAGCGAATCGATATTCAGCGATGTTCTCGATGCACGATGGGGCGAAGGTACAATGTATAACATTATAAAAGTAGAAAATTTGACGGCAGTTATTATAGAGATCGTAGATGGTGAGAAACGCGGTGAAAGGAAATTGGCCCTGTTGTTTATTTTTTTTCGTGTTCTCTTCTAGATTTAACTTTATCGAACGAATTCGTTTTAATATTCCCGTAATTTGTCCCCTGATTCGTGCTATCTTGTCTCACATTTACGACCAAGGAAACAACGTGTCAAGCCGCTCTGTCAAGCTAAGAGAACCGAGAACAAAATTATAACGCGCGTAAAAAAATAAAACGATGAGCGATCCTCCGCGGTGCTTCTCGACTCGGGAGGACGCAGCATCGACGCCTTGCATCGCCTTCATACTCTTATCCCTTGACTCGTCGTCGTTCCAGTTCCTCGACGAGGATCGTACAAGCAACTTCGTTGTCGATCCTGAACTCAACGTGCGTTTTCGAAAAGGCTGCTCTGATTTCTTCCACGATCCACGAACGTCCCAAGATATGTCCGAACAGCTTCGAGCCACGATTCGTGGAAGCCTCGAAGCTCCTCTTACCTGCTGCCATTCTCTTTTCTCTTTCTCAACGGGATCGTTTCGACGAAGGTCGACCGTGCAGCCAGGAATGTTCGAGTCGTCGAGAGGCGACCCCAGTTTATCTTCTTCCCGCCAAAAATTCATTCGATCCTTGCCCGCAAACGACGATCACTCCGGGCCATTGATCTCGACGAACGGTGTCTTCGTCTACTCGAGGCGTGCCTTGTAGCTGGTCTTCCAGATCTCCGCGAACGTGACCGCGCTGTGGAACCTGTGGAAGATGCACAGAGGCAGAGTGACCCTCTGGACGATGGCCCAGGCGAGGAACCCGTAGAAGTCGAGCTGCACCGGGTTGGCCATCACTTTCTGCGACTCGAACGTGTAGATCACCCACATGGTCAGGTTGCAGATCAACAGGAACGTGACCACCTGTCGACCTGGCTTGCTGCGATCGTGCTCCGGCAAGTGGACCCTCCTGCGAGACACGTCCGCGATGAACAGCATCTGAAGGATCACCTGGGCGACCGATAGGAGACCGGTCAACATCACCAGGAGATTCGGCTCGTGTGTGAACGCTGCCAACGAGCCGGCGATCACGCTGAACACCGCGTAAACGAACAGCCCGAAGCCCGACACGCGAAGCAGAATGTCGTTCAGGTCGCTCTGCTCCTCGGCTTTGAACTTGAGACTCTGCACGCGGATGAACCCGACGATTATGGCGACGATCGACAGCACCATCAGCACGCAATGCGACACGTCGGCCAGGTAAATCGCGATCAAACCGAAGTCTGGGTGATGGATCAGCACGAAGAAGAGGATCAGGCAGATCAGTGAGCCAACCAGCAACAGCAGGCCGAAGAACAGTCCTTTGCTCGCTCCTACACAGTCCACCCTTGTGTGACCTAATTTTGCGTTGAGACACGGATCTTTTTTAGTCGTCTTTCGATTAACGTTTTAATATTTGAGAAAGTGCAGCAGCGGAGAAGAAGAAGCTGGTAGTTGGCGTCATCCCGTAATAGCGAAAGACAATCGAAAAGATTTGAGAAATTGATCGCAGTATTCTACCCATTTGCACTATTGCCTTCTATTAACAGTTGCTTAACTATTGCTTGTCCGTTAACAGTTGCTTATACAAATTATCAAAGTATTTATCTACAGGTTATCAGTGCAAACGGTTAGAGTACAAACGATAAAGAAAGAATTACCTGCGTGAGCCAAAGCGACAGCCCTTCGAGACAACATGGCCTCCAGGCGACGTTCCAAATCGGCCTCCACCTGATGTGGCCAACGGGGATGTCGTCCAATGTGCTTCCACATTACGTAAATTACTGCGGCACCGATCAGACTGTACTCGATGATGAAGGGGAACAGGTACGGTTCAGCATCCTGCACGATGGTTCCCATAATGTTAACGCGACCGCATGAATTCGACGCCATTTCCTCGTCCGTTAATGCCTCCGCGTAGATTCCGAAGTTCGGGCTCCAGTATTCACTGCTGTTTGTTTGATTATTCACGTCGAAGATCTGGTGTATCTGTTAATTTCATCAAATTTTCTCTACTTATATGCTCTACATATTAGTACAATTAAAGCTAGACCAAGTTATCTTCGGAATGAGAAAGATAGTTGAGGTAGGAACAAAGGGTTGTAGCAAAGTTAGAATACAAATGACGAGAATGTAAACTGGAATCTTAAATCTTTTTCAATTGTGTTGGAATCTCTAAATTTATTTATGTAGAATATAAACCTTCACATTCGATAAGAGGTCCCAAAAGATCAGACTTAACGGAAGAGAATCATCATCAAGGACTAATAAATGAATCTATCTTCTTATATCATTACCTCTTCTTTGCTATCAGCCTGCGGTGCCTCGAACATTTCGATGTAGTACGACGAGAACGTTGTTGAAGGCGTGGTAGTGGTGCTGGTGGTGGGTGTGGTGATGGTGGTGGTAGTAGTCGTACTCGGAGTGGTCTGTTCGGTGGTAGCTTTCGGTGTCAACGTGGTCAACAAAGTGGACAACGTGTTGACAGTGGTCGCAGTTAAATTAGGCAAGGGTGCTGAGGTGGAGTTGGTTGTCGAGGTTAGAGGATTCCAGTCGGTCGTGGTGGTAGTGCTGGGTGTTGTAACAGCCCTGGCAATTGCCCTTGCTGTCGTTCTCATTACACGACCAAACGAAGCGATAGTCGTGCTGGCGATGGACGTTGTTACGGTCGATGACCTCGTGGCGGTTAATGGCGCCTCGCGTAACAAAGCCACGTCACGAGGCGCTGTTCCCAAGATGGCGCCCGCATTTCGCATCGAGTGTTGCTTGATACTCTCTGCAATTTTTCAACGTCACATAGTTGCAAGCTCTGTTAGCTCGAGTGATCTATTACTGAACTATCAACTATATTTCCATTGCTGTACGATCAGTTGAACATTAGATAGGTTAGGTAGATGAACGTAGTTTAAGATTAAACTTTGAATCTCTAATAATCTTCACAGTTAAAATTTCTTTGATAAATATTGTAACAATGTTACTCACCAAGAATTCCGGCCTCGAACTGGCCCATTTTCTGATGATGCTTAGTGATCTCCTTAATGCTCTCCAACACGAGAGTACGAATCCAAACGCAGAGATTGGTGGCGACCACATGCATCAACCCAAAACGTGCTATTACTTTGAAGCGATGAATGTTCAGCTAAAAAGTAATGCACCGCAATCAGGCCTTCATTTAAATATTTCGACGTGTGCGGTACTTACCCTGGAGTTCATGAAAATGAAATACATCTGCATGAATGTGAAGATCATTTGCAAAACCGGATTGACTCCCTGGAGGATCTGGTAGCAGGGTGACGTAGGTGGTACCTCGAAGAAGGTACCGAATTCCAGACCATTGTACACCATTGTCCCCAAACCGAACGCTAAGAACGAGATTAAAAATACAATAATACGTTTTGATGGTACAAGCAATGTATTTACCTATTGCTCCAATTCTGAGGAAGAAGCTTCCGTGGCTCTGATCGTTTTGCGACGTCTTCCGTTTCCGCAAAGCTCGAGTGGCCACACCAGCCTCGACGTCCGCCGCATCCTAAATCATTTAGTCCTACGTGTGATTAATTAATTTTGACAGATTGGGGAGTCTAATTTCGTAATCCTCTTTGCAACGAAAGGGCGAACGGTTTTAATGAGCAAGGAAACTGCCGAGTTTCAGTTTATAAGTGGATTCCACGTGATAATGAATGGACCCGTAGCACGTGCCTTGCGCTAGATGCTTAACAACGATGGGTAACCCACTTACGTCAGCACCGAGAGTGTCTCTTTAAATCGCTTCATCGATTCGATACTTCCACCGAACCGAAATATACCTCGCGTCAATCTACTTATTTTTGTCGTAGACGCACTGCAGGTTGCGTCAAGGGATTTACTATATTTCTATTTATTTGATAAATTTAGAAAATGAATACGATCTCAAATTTGTAGAACTGGAAGTAATCTTATCTGGATATTTAACAGGATTGAAAATGTTTACAATTTAATTTTGTTCTGTTTAAAAGACCACACATGTAATGTTTTGACAAACGCGTGACAAATTGAAGAAAAGACAACCTGGTACTCTTTCTTGGCCTTTGCCGCCTTTTGTTCTTTGTCCTTCTTGTCCTTCTTCTTGTTCTTGTCCTTGGGTTCTTTGGGAGGTTTGGGTGGTCTCGGAGGAGGCGGCGGTGAATCGCTGCCCCTTGCGCAACACGCGCTTTCTTGCAACAGGAAGCAGAACACGTACAACAGGAACAAGATGCTAACCCCGTACAAATACGTGAAGAAACCTTCGTAATAGTAGAGTGGCAGTTTGTGCGTGACCACCTCGCTAATCACGTAAGCGATGCACACCACCACCAACAGCTTCGCATAGATGAAGCTCATAATAATGAACAACGACGTCCTGCAACGAGAAATAAGTAAAATTCGTACCTGTTCGGGCAATTAAAAACTTTTACTTTTATTAATTAAAAACTTTTGTCATATTTGTAGAAATATTTTTTAAGAGGAGGATTTTGAATTGTAAAGACACTACTCTTTTGCATCACGCATGTATAGTGATGGGACCAACCTAACATTTTATTAAAGGACTCGTGCTTATACCTAGTTTGGAGATATCTAAACGTATTGTAAATTCATTTGTTGACGTACTTAAAAGTAACAGAAAATGGCAGTATCAAGGGATTAATATTTTTTAATATTGTTTGAAACTTATATAAGAAGCATGTAATGACAGGGGATTTTTTAATGAAGATGAGAAGAGTGACAACATGCATGATCGACGCATTTTCACCTAATCTTATTTCGCATTTTTGGTATCAGGTAGCATTGGTATTAATTAAGCTTCAAAATTTCAAATAGAGTAGACTCTCGTTATATGGCCACTCCTGTAGACTTTCACCAATGACTTCTTCACTGTAGCAAAATCTTTCTAGTTAAATATATTTAGTAGTCTAGCTAAATATATTTAGTAGCCTAGTTAAATATATTTAGTAGCCTAGTTAAATATAGTCAGTAGCAAAGTTGCAATATAGCGAGACTTTATATAAAATCCCAGTCCCATCACTACATAAAGTAAATCTCTCACCGTGTTTTTCTGGCTATTTGTACCCTACTACCGTGTCGTAGCACGTCTCCTCCGACTCCGTTAACATTATTCTCCACAAACGGCACTATTTCCACTTCCATCGTAAAAATGTACAATTCTTTCTTTACGATCTCTAATAAACTAAACAGTGTTTACGTGCGCGGTTTACGAAGCACGTTGAGCTCGGATTATTTGCGAACGTCGACTGCCGTGCTGGACACCATGGTCGATTCACTGGCATGCTATTTTCGATGTCGAACCGTCTTTCGACCACCAACTCGTCGATTTTTCACTCTCCTCGTCTCCTCTCCGGTTAACTTTCATTCCACGTACCGCTTCGTTTCAGATATATCAACCTTTCTTATCGCGCGAATATTTGTTAAATAAATCCACTATCTTTATCACTCGAATTTCGAAACCTGATTATACATGAAATTAAACAGCAAACCTCTGCGAGGGTTTGGAACACACAGAAAATCTGCACAATTCACCGAAACACAGAATATCACAATAACGAACGTGAAATATCAGTTCGATCCTCGACGCGAAATCAAGTTGCTCAAACTTGTCGAGCTTCGACGCGACGCTTTCAGGTTTCGAGTCAACTCTTCCCTCGTCCACCGTTCCTTTTTTCTTTCTCTCGTTAAAGGTTAGGTCGTAGAATCGATAATTTGCGTGTACGCGAAGGGGAGAGCGTGTTCCAGGTCCGATCTCGTCGAGAATTAATCGCGCGCGAAACCGGATGCTCGGCTGCTGGCGGAAAGGAAAATGGCGCAGGCGCGCGGACGCCGGCGAGGAAAACGCGAAAAAGGTATATTTCGAAATCCGGCGTGTGTCGCTCACACGGTATGATTGCACACGACGCGGCGTGGCGTCGCGACGTCTGCATCAGGGAGTATCAGGGACCTCGGTTACGTACGGTGCATCTTCGTGAAGAAGGGCTTAACCACCCTTTGTCGCGCTGCCATTTCAGGGGTTGGGGCGCAGACTTTATTGTGTTCCGCACGAGCCTGTACACTCGTGTCAGGCAGTTTTTTTCTTTTGCTTCACTTCGATGATTATCATCGTGGATAAAGGATCGTGATATTTTACCAGGAAGCTCGATTTTCATTTCGCTCTATTTATTTTACCCTTGATATTTTCTTTATTGCTACACGTGTATTCTTTTTAACTCCGGAGGCGTTTGGATGCTTTTTTATGTGCATATTTTGCTTTAATACTTTGCGGAAAATTGTTAATCGGGATAATCTTTTTTTAGGTTATAAAAGGGAGGATCTACATGTATAATCGTTTAGGAGTATATTTTAATCGTTCTGAATCTACAATGGTTATATAGATAAAGAATTTACTATAAATTTTTTTGAAGTTACGTCTCGATAAACCGAAGAGCAAGCATTGCAAATTCAATTTCTAATATATTATTCAATGAATGAATATAATAAGTTCTGTCACGCGTTAAAACTACCTATCTTGTTAGTAGACTTTATTTAAGTATATACATATATTTTATGTATATATGAAAAGTTATATAAAATTACAAAAAGTTAAATTCTGTAAAGAATAGGCTATCAGTATTCACCCGAAGGCTGACAATAGAAACAGTCATGCAAGACACATGATCAGACATATGGTATAACTTATTCAGTTCTTTGATTTCAAAGATTCAATGAGTCACTGTAATAGTAAATTATTCTTATACGTTCATTCTTGAAAATACGTTTCAATTTTAAATACGTCATGCATAGAATTTAACAAATGTCCTCGATTTAAATTTTTAATTGTCTTTCCATATCATGAATTTGTTCGTGACAATCGTTCATGAATTTGAGATTGCCTGTAGCGTGAAAATTTGGCAAACTTGCCCAAAACATGCATCTTTAGAAAGCTCGGGGCAAGATGGCAAGCGGAGCTAACCTCTAGCAGGGAAATTTTTGCAAGTTTTCGTGGCTGCGGGAAAAAATGAAAAAGAAGAGTTTGGCGACCTTTTTTTCCACTTGTGAAGGAGAAAAGCGGCTAGAAGTGGAAACAGCCTGGATATCACAGACTCCGAGCCCGGCTCGGTCGATATTTTCTACCTACTTTCAGCCACTGGTCTTTCTCTCTGTACCTCACCCTCTCGACTCACTCTCGCCTCATCCGTGTCCTCTCCGCGAATTTCGCTCTCCCCTTCGCGTTCAATCACGACCGTATTCTTTTCAACCGCCTTTTATATCCATGCCAGATCGTTTTCGCATTCTTTGGTCAGGTGCATTGTTCTGAACTTCGATTCAATATTTTAAGGGTAAAATCCCCGTACAAATTGATTTTAGAAGTGATAGGTTTCATTGGATATCTTTCGTATGCTATTTTGTGATTTGAGTGATAATTAGAGATTTAATAATGGTGGGTATCTTATTAGTGGAGGACTTACTTTAGTGGAGGGCTTACTATTGACATAAGTATTTGCCAGGGGTTGGTCTGAGTGAGGTCTGAGCTCTTTTCATGGGGGAAAATCTATTTAAGTTCTGAAACTTTGGAAGTTTGAGATTCTGGAGTTTTTAAATTACCAAACTCCTAAGTTCTTAAATTCCCAAATTTCCGAGGTCCTATGTTCCCAAATTCTCGAAATTCCAAGGTCCTAAATTCTCAAATTCTTAAGTTCCAAATTCTTAAATCCCAAGGTTCTAAATTCCCAAATTCTCAAAATTCCAAGGTCCCAAATTTCCAATCTCCCAAGTCCCCAAATTTCCAAATTCCCAATCTCCCAAGTCCCCAAACTTCCAAATTCCCAATCTCCCAAGTCCCCAAACTTCCAAATTCTCAATCTCCCAAGTCCCCAGATTTCCAAATTCCCAATTTCCCAAGTCCCAAAATTTCTAAATTTCCAATCTCCCAAGTCCCCAAACTTCCAAATTCTCAATCTCCCAAGTCCCCAGATTTCCAAATTCCCAATCTTCCAAGTCCCAAAATTTCTAAATTTCCAATCTCCCAAGTCCCCAAATTTCCAAATTCCCAACCCTCAAATGCCCAAATCTATAAACCTCCAAATTTCCAAATCCCCAATTTCCCAAATTTCCAAATTTCCAAATTTCGAAATTCCCAAATTTCCAAATTCCCAAATTCCCAAATTCCCAAATTCCCAAATTCCCAAATCCCCAAATCCTCAAATCCCCAATTTCCCAAATTCCAAAATCCCCAAATCCTCAAATCCCCAATTTCCCAAATTCCCAAATCCCCAATTTCCCAATTTTCCAAATTCCCAAATCCCCAAATCCCCAAATCCCCAAATCTCGAATCCCAAAACTGAAAAATCCCAATTTTCCCCTCAAATCCTTAAATTCCCAAATCCCCAAATCCTCAAATCCCCAATTTCCCAACTTCCCAAATCCCCAATTTTCCAAATTCCCAAATTCCCAAATCCCCAAATCCCCAAATCCCCAATTTCCCAAATTCCCACCTTCCACCTCCCCAAACATTACAAACACAAACTTGCACTCTCACCCTCACACAAACACACCAGTCCACAACAAAGTATACTTCATTCAAAGTGATATTTTGTAAACCGTATGTGATCCAGTTGAACGTCGAACTGGTTCAAGTTATTCTGTGAGCACGGTGGATTGCAGTTCGCATCGTCCGCAGCTGACTTTATATTTTCAGTCGATGATCGCACGGATCTCGCGAGCGTTTCGTGCTCGTCGGACGCGGATAGGTATGTGCAGTCACGTTCACGAAGCTCGTAACACTGTCTTGTTTCAGCGTCTAGACCGTCGAAGGTTCCCTTTCAGTTCGTGTTAATGCAATTGCGACTGTGTAATTCGAGAAGGTATTCCTGTGGCCGTGCTGCGTGTATTCAGCACCGTATCACCGTCACGCTTTACCGCTCGATCGATATTAATAAATTAATAAATTGTATATGCTGACTGGAAGCTGTTACGCGCTTCTTCTTTCTTTTCTAACTAGGCACATAAGTCAAATCTTTTCTAACTATAGGTACATAAGTCACATGTATTTATTTATAATTTACTGTTAGCCTCTGGGATGACACGTGATAATGATAATTGCTGACAAGGTATCATTAATTACAGTATGTTCTGACAGGATATCGAAGATTCAAATACTTAATGGGGTAAGGTTGCTTAAGTCGTACCTGTTCTATTTTTGAAGTGTTATGGCTACTACAGCTACATTAGGATTAATTTATATGACAACACAAAGATTGTTCAGAGTTGTTCTAATAAATAAAACCAATATTTACACTAGAATCAAATAGCAAATATAGTTTTTACATATTTGCTAAATACTCATTGTTTTTTCTTACGACTTGAGAAACCTTACCCTATTTGCAAATATACCCATCATATGGGCTGATATTACAATGTTGTATGTATAATATCAACAAGACAGTAGAATGTTCTTCAGTAAGAAAATACTTGAAATTGTAAAAAATATGAAAGAATATTACGAGCGGAATTGATACGAAAAAATTGAAGATGTCTAAAACGAGGACGAGTAAAGCGATTATCGAGCGTCAGTCAAACCTCCCGTCTATTTTACGATCCAAAGGTGTTGCGTTCCAGGGTTAATGCTCGTCGGCCTATCGCAGCCCGATATATCGAAGAAACCACGGCATACCGTCCCTCGAAATATGTTCGCGCTCCACTTCCTCGATTCTTTCTACAGAATGATTTCCATTGGTACGTGGTCGCAACCTCGGTCGGTTGCATGTCTCAGACCTGGGGTAGTAGGTGGTCTATGTACGTGCGGGAGTGCATAAACTCGGGGCCGTGTATAATGCACACTAGAAGCGCAAGAAGACGCTTCGTAGGCAACAGCGACGGCTAACGAAGTGCGTTGCAAATAGACACGCAGACGAAACCTACCACTTCTCGTCATTTCGAGTCGAACGCACAGAGTGTCGCGTAATGAATGCCACCGTGGGAGAATACGATGATTATATCTGGAAACACGAGGCTCGAAGTGTCCAATAATTTGCGTGTCTGGTTTTCGAGAGGGTTGGAGGAGATTTGAAATTTATATCTTCAAGAGACATATTGAATAGACTTCTGTCTCTCAACACGAACTTCGAATTTTAGTCTTCTAGCTTCTTTTTGTTATAGCCTCTTAGTAATGTGAAGACTTAGAAATTTTAAGATCAGTACCGAGGTCTCCGAAAATTCTTTTGACAGGTCAGCAATGCACGGAAATCACTCTCTGTCTTCAAACATCTAAGGGACTTAGTTTGTTCCTTGTTTTGCATCTTCAAATATTCGTGGTACAAATTTGGAAAGTGTGGCTTCAAAGACTGAGTCCACATACCATAGTCTTCAGACACCAAGAATTCTGTCGGAACGACATAGGGACACTTTTCAATCTATCATGAGAACCGTGAGATGGAGATAAGAATTTTAACCGCATCACAAAAATTCTTTCAATATGTCGGACACAAAGTAATTACTCTCTGTACCTCCAAGTATTCAAAGTACTCAGAAATATTAGTCTGTGCCATCTACGGTTACCAAGAATCCTTTCAGAAGATAGCACTCTCAGTGCTGTCTCCAAGTATTCTACAGACTTAAGGGCTTAAAAGATCCTTCCGAGAGGTCGACCAAATTCCCTGTAGACTGTCTTCAAACACTAGTACTCTAAATAGCATCTACAAGAAATGATATAAGCGGAAGCAAGTCACGTAACACGGCTGTTAACAATAAGCATTAAAAATTCCCGCCGAGGCAGATGCAATTTATTCCAGGAAATCGTTGAATAGTTCGCGACTAGAAATCGTTGCATACATCATCGTATGAAGCGTTCAGAATGGAGAACGAGCGTAGGACGTATCCGGATGTTTCTTCCCGTCATGAAAGACATCCGTGGACGTTGCGACCCAGTATTCGCCGATACATTATCGAAATTCCACGACGGACAGTTATTCGAGCGATCCAGCGGATATCGTTTTCTCCGACAGAATATCAATCATGGAGAAACGAAATGTGCGTTTATAATTTTAGCTTCGAATTGCAAGGAAAATAAACATCGGAAAAGAAACTCGTTTGATGAGACGGATTTCCAGCTCGAGCCGCTAAATAATTAACCATTCGTTAGCGCGGGAATTACGTAGTTCCGGTCAAGTGGGTTCTTGACCTAGTCCCATTTCCTCCTGTGTAATTGCGTCGTGGAAAAGCGTAACGTTCAACTAATTGCTCGAAATACGTACACGAAGAACGTTTATGTTCACGGATGATTTTCTTTCGAGACTCTTCTTTATATAATAAACATTGGCCTCTGGTGAAACTCGAGGAAGGAGGTCGAGGAGGTCGCGATCAAACTTCAGATTATTATTATTACGAAGAAACGCGAATAATTTATTCCGAAGTTTTTCTCATTTCCGTCTTTCAGCGCACTACTCTTCACAGAGTTTCTTTCAAAAAGAAAAAATTCGATGCATCGTCATAGTATTAAGATATACATAACATGGTTGTCATTTCACGTATTTATTTCGAAAGAAATATCTTTTCTAATAAGCTAGGTCGTAAAAGATCATTTACTGGTTCGTTCAACTGGACCAGTCGTAACCTCAATTTTCATAATCTTTGATCCACGTTGCTGTAATCTTGCTATAAATATTCATACGAAAATGATACAAAACACGACTGCAATCTTACATTAAATGACAAGGTTTCGTAATAGCATGAGACCGTAATCCGGTCAGTTTACATTGTCCCATTCGCAGGGTTTCTCAAACAAGCATTCTAACGAATTAAACAACCGTCGACTTCGACAGTTCTCACACAGTTTGAGAAACGCTGATGAGCATCTACTTCCCCCGCAAAGTGTCGCGACACTTAACGAGGGAACTACAAAAGCGAGCCGGCTACCAGGCGATGATAACGTGTGAACATGATTGCGTTCGCTATGAGCTGAAGAGCAAAAGAAAAGATAAAGGGAAAAAGAAGAAGTCCCTGTCTCTTCGGTTTCTCATCTAATTCTCTACGACCGCGCTTACTTTTTCGCTGGCGTAGAGCGCACGTTCTTCAGCTCCATCTCTTTGTTCGCCGCGTTGTTCTTCTCGGCGTTGTCCTGCGCGTTCTGCGACGAGTTCTGAGGATTCAGAGGTCTGGTCACCGGAAGAGTCGCCGTGTTGTCCGCTGCGGCTGCCTCCACCTCCACGGTGGCGACCTTGCAATCACCACCACCCACCATCGCGGTTTCCTTCTCCCTTCGTAACGGGCCCTAACGATCGGCAAAAGATACGGCTGGAAAATCACCGAATAAGCCCGCCACTACGCGAACCGAACGCGGGTGCTCGAACCTCGATTACGCCACGGCCGCCATTTTGGCGAACGTCTGGTGCAGAAATTCGACTCGTAATTTATGAAAAAATATCGAGGGAAGATTCGCTACGTTTTCATCGCTCAACGTCACGCTCCGAGTAACGATTTTCACGAGTAGCTTCGACGAAACTTTGGCACGCTTCGTACAAGGAGAAAGAAGGATCAACGTTGAGTCGGCGGATTTCGTGTCGGAAATCTGTCACCGCAAGAGTGTGAGTAGAATGGATCGATCGCAGCGGAAACTGGATCGAGGAGCAACGCTCGAGACGACCAGCTCGGAGGACGGTTTCGGAGACACCGTTTCCGAAAAGGAGGGCAGCAGGCGCGAGTCAAAAACTCTCTCCCCGAATTGTTGCTGTCTGTTTATTCGATTCCTCGGATCACGCCTGCGCGCTCGTCCTCGGGCTTTTTGCTAACGAACACCGTACCGCCTCCTACTCTCGTCTCGCGTTCCGAAACGCGATCGGATGAATGGTCGATGCTTTTAACGAGATTCCTGTAATTATGGCTCTTTTGCCAGGATCCGAAAATCTGCTAACGTCGTCACTGTCTCCGCAACGATCGGTGCACCGTCGAAATCGTAGGAAAAATTTTCAGCTGGAATTCGAACGAATTTTCAGCGATCGAACGCGAGCCCTAAGCGGTCGGGAAAGAAGGCGACGAGACGCGAAGAGGAAACGGTCCACCCCAAAGGTTTCCTCTCAGTCTGTGATCTCGCGCACTTGGTCGAACGAGCTAATTGGAAAATCCTGTGCACACGACCGAACCTAAGGATCGAGCACTCTCGCTTCGATGACTGATGACGACCACGAGAGAGCACGGCACGATGGACGGGCCACGATCACCCAGCCAAGTGCGACGTACACCCCACAGAAACGACCTGCCAACCACGTAACCGAACGACGCGACCAAGGAAGCTCACCTGCTGGAGAGGTGGTTGCCTGAAGGTTCTCGCGGTGACTGCACCCAGGCTTCGGTGGAAAAGGGTGTGAAGCGGAGAGACGGAGAAGGGATGAAGGACGGAAGAGTCGGCCAGAGAAAGAGGATGCTGTCGATCGAGGAGAGGGGGACAGACAGACCAGACGAGACGAGAGAAGAAGATAAAAAAAAAGGGAGAATCGCGTGTAGGGGCACACGTAGAATCCACGAACGAGGAAGAGAGATCACAGAAAGGGAGGCTCGTCGTCTACCTTACGGCGAACACCGTAAGCGCCAACGACGAGGGTTAACTTCGAGAGGAACAGAACGGAACGAGAGACGGACAGTGGCCGAGCGAGATGGACTATGTTATCGGAGCACGATGAAATGGGGGTAGAATCACGATCGCCGCCCCCAGCATCCCGGAGACTGAGGCTGGGCCGGGAGGTCTCTTCCCGGGCAACGGCAGCTTCTTGCACAAGCGCAATGCCATCCGTGGTTATACACTCCCGTTCAAAAGTCAACGCGTTTTCCCGTTTTGGTAATCTTCGATACTGGGTGTCCTAACTGGGAACAGCTCATTACGGTCTTTCATCTTAACCCGTTGATCCACTTTCATTTATCATCATATGCAACCCTGTTAAATATCTTCAAAATGTTTTAATTTGATCTTCAGTTCTCAGATATATTTCGAACATGTTTGCTTTATACAGATTTCGAAATATTCGCTGCAAATAATTTGAAAGAAAATATCTTAAAACCTGACCGTTAAAATTCCAATAATCTTGGTAAGAGCTTTTCATCGTTTCACAGGTTCTTTAACGGTGAGATGAGTGTTCTTAAAATTCCTAAAATTCTAGTTTGAGTAGGTACGTGTTGCAATAATCTCCTAACATGTGAAACGAAGTATGCATGAAAGTAAGTAGTTCTGGAATCTGCTTCGTTATTGTACGTGTCTGTCCAGTACACATTGAAATACGCAAAGTAGCTCAATGTTGGCGAGGTATTCTGCTTATTCTAAGAATGAAAGAAGATCGTACGAGTCCAGAAATGCACTCTTGCTGAAGATATTGCTGAACGTGGAACAATAGAATGCAACAGTTCTCTTGGGACGCTGAACGCAATCTTCGATATTGGGATTTCTCAGATATTTCCAACTTTTATCTTGGAGAAATGATAATGTTGTGTGTTATATTTTTCCAACCCTGCAAAACTGTGATCACGTGCTTTGTCTCCTTATACAAATTTAGGGGTTGGAAACTTGTGAAAATAGAAGAAATCGATTTGGAGCAACGATTCAAAAAATATTTAATAAATGTGGCATCCAAATGTCTACCGAAAAGTCCTAAGAAAATTTATTTTTGTAAAGTCGTAATATTTGTTTCGAAACAGGGTTAAACATCGATGAGCTAATTTATAATAATTTATAGTGTAGATGAGTTTGAAGAGGCAGTGACTTTTGAACGGAAGTGTATTTCATATTCTCTTCATCCCTTTCTCGCTACCGGCACCCCTTTTTCTCTTCAATATCTTGTGTCTCGTTCTGACGATCTTTCCCTACACGGTGTCGTGTGTTTTTCATCCCTCTCGTTTGCGTTCTCCTTCGACATTTTCCCTTCGCCACTTCGGCTGTGGTCGTGGAGAATCCTCCACCATGATTCCTCTCGGTTGAGCTACCTCGGCTCGGGACACCCTTTGTTCCATTGGAATCTCTCGTGTCTCGTCATGAATTTTTTCTGCTCGTACTTTCCATGTCCTCGTTTTCCTTCACTTTTCTCTACCCACCTATCTCCTTTTTTTCCTTTATTTCACCGGTAACCCGCGGAGGGGGGAAACGACGTTGTCTATCTTCCTTCAGAAGCGTCATTATTCGATGGTTGATCGTTGGACCACGAGTTACTCGAATATAATCCGCGTTTTCCTTTTCAACTGTCTTTCGTGGATGTCTTTGATTCGTGATCTCGGTCACTGGGTTTACGGTATGCCTTCTAAAGTTTGCTAGACTCTTCCGGCGGAGGAACTGATTTTCTTTTGTTGCAGTTCCGTTTTATCGAAGTTTTGCATTTCTGTGGTTTTCAGCTTCCAAGTTTTCAGTTCCTGAATTCGTTATTCCCAATTCCTAATTTCCAAACCCCAAAGTCTCGAATGCTCAATTTACTAACTCTCAAATTTCTGAATTTATAAAGTTCCAGAAGTACAATTACCTAAACTCTAATTTCTAAATCCCCAATTTTTATATCTCCAGTACTAAGTTCCCAAATACTTGTGACCCCAAATTTCCAAACACCCTAATCCCTAAGTCCCCAAGTGCCAAACCTCTAAGTACCTAAACTCTAAGCCCCTGAATCCCCAAATCCCTAAGTCCCCAAGTGTCCAAACCCCTAAACTCTAAGCCCTTAAACCCTCGAATCCCAAAATCCACAAATCTCTAAATTCCAAATCTTGAGTCCACCTTCTCCAACTCCCAAAAAAAGTACCAATCTAACACCGAATTTCTGCAATATAAAAATTCCCAAATTCCCAGAAATTACTAAATAATTGAGTCCCTATTGTCTCCGCGCAAATAAGAATTTCAGTTTCCGCGGTATCGTGCATCGATTCAATGGTCCGATTCTCGATGACAAGAGCGAATAAATCAATTCAGGTAACAATGTCCTCTTTCCTATTTATAGCTCGCGATCGCGAGGGTTATTTAAATATCCTTTCAAGCCTATTCCGAGCGTTCCGGACATCGTGGATGTTAAAGACACGGTATCGATGCATTTAACAGCCGCCTTTGTACGCTGGGGAGCAGTAACTGTCTACGCTCGACGAGAAGCACCCTTTTTTGCACTAGACTCGTCCTGTATCGTCTCGAGGGAGGCCTGTCTTTTGTCTACGCGAGTTTCTTTATGCTAAACGCGTGCGCTATCGCGAATTCTCTGTGAAGCCGTTCACCGATCAATTCCTCTCAAAAAAGATTCCACTAGTTTGTTGCGTATCAAATATTTCCTTCGAGAGATTTCCTACGAATTTCTAAAGCCATAGTACTTCACGTTGTATATTCTCGATATTCTCAGAATATAATATGAGAACGTCTGAAAACGCCAATATCGTAAAAAGAGGACATTCCCGAGAAATATTTTAAAAATCTCCGCCGTATAAAAATCGACTGATCTTCGATTACGTAATTTCTATATCCAATCCGTAACCGATACTGACACACTTCGTAAAAGGCCGATATCGAGGATTCTTTTTTCATCCTCCTGGAGGAAACGAGGACCGGTAACAGTCGTACTCTTGTTTCCGTAAGTGTAGAATTCCAGGAGAAAATGGAGCGAAGCCTTCTCGGCTAGAGTGTTCCCTGGAAGTTGGAGTCTTGCGCGCACATTCGGCTGCGTTCCCACGGGAGGATATCCGGAACGGCTAGAGGTAGGAGAGTAGCTTGGCCTGGGCCACGGTGGGGTGCGAAGGTGGGGAAACGGGTGTGTGATATGCTCTGTGGTTCTGCGACCCACTGACCCGCTCGATAACGCTAGCACCGAGGTCAGTAACCTTACCCTACCACAAAATTCTCTATAGTACGATTCTTTTCGAACCGACTTGACTGGAATCGACCTATGATTACCGCTGCGCTCGCTGGATTACCTTTTATCCACATCTACTCTGCGATCGTCCTTTTTTCTCGTTCTTTCACTTTGAGACGCGCTAATTTACGCTGATGCGTTTTTTAATGACTCGAGTATTTACACGCATAGACGTTTAGTATGTAGAGGTATAAGGGATCTGGTGAGTTAGAGGTTGAGGTATGAAGGGTACTGGGTATTTTGGAACTTAGGGATTTGGATAAGAAGGAAGCTAGAAAGAGGACGTATTTGGGACCAAGCTGGTGAACTAGAAATTCAGGAGCCTTTAAAACTGAGAACTTAGGTATTTGGACATTTGCATGAAAAGACCTAGCGGTTTGGAGATCTTGGGACTTGGACATCTGAGCTGATCTAAAAATTTGGGCCCATAGCGATTTCAAGATAGGGATCGCAAAACATGTTTCACTTCTGTAGTACATATATCAGTAATATAAATAATGAAATTCTAAATTACAAATTCCCGAACTAATAACATCGAAGCAATTATTTAAATTACCGTTTCCCAGAAGTTCACATAATAGTTTCACAATGTTCGTACCACATATCGATCGTCACATATGCTAATGTACTTAGAGGGTTGTTTTTCCGATTGCCGAGGTCGTTGACCGTTTGGCAGTTCGATATGATCGAAACAGTTGGCAAGCATCTCGAAGCCAGGCTGCCAACTTCGATGATAGTTCATCATGCGTTTGTTTTATTCGCCGCATTTGTCTAGGCTCGCGATAAAGTATTGGAAGAGCCTCGAGATCGGCCTCGATGGCTGCGGTAATCCCGTACAAAACGATCGCGTGAGAACTATCGCGATGCAAAGTTGTGTCACGCGATACCGGAGGGAAACGATTCCTTTTTTCTCCTCTCTCTCTTCCTTTCTCCAGACCTTTAAAGGGGTGGAAGACCGCAGAAGATCGCCGAGACGAGTAGCCGACTAGTTTAGCAGATCGCGTTCCCAACGATGAATCGGGTCACCGATACTACGTGTGCAATACCGCTGGCTACGTACACATTTTTCTGCGTGTTGTAATATCGCGTTGCAAGCATTGCAACAGAGGCCAGACTCACGCACACCGAGTATTGATTTCGAGTCTCGTGTCAGTGCTGCCACGATTCCGCGTCTCTAGAACTAAACCCTGGAGGGCCCTGGGGTAGAAACCTAGTAAAATCGTGCCCGTGGACTACCTTTCATCCACTCGGAAATTTTACCTACTCAGGCTATTTATAAGTTATGAAATATAATGAAACATAAGTTATGAAATATAATTCATATAACTTCATGTATGTCATAATGTATGAACGTATGAAATAATGTATGTCATAATTTATATACATCTATACAATTTTCATGTACCAATTAGTTCGATTAATTTCTTATACAAATGTACAAAGTGTATTAACCACTGAAATTTCTATAACAACGATTATCCTCTTCATTCGTGTACATAATATCAAGCCTTAAAAATGTGTAAATAAAAACAGGCATCAGGCAAAAGCTTCGTTTCACCTTTCAGCCTTTCAATTTATACAGAGTACAAAGTATCAATCAATCTATACATCTTCTTGAAGAAAGTCTCACGACCGTTTAAGATTTTTTCTGCCAGCAGTGATCCTTTTATGGGAATTCGAGCAACCACTCGCTTTTTGCTAGGCTTACCTTCTTCGGCACAGCAAAGATGGCGTTCCCCTTTAACGTAGTTGCGATTCAAACTTCAATTTTCCATTTCGTTTCGACTTATAGCTCGAATAGTTGTCTTAACGTTGGGTCAAAGAGTTTATTTTTAACCCGGTAGTTTCTCGATAACGGAAGCTCTCGAATCCACGTGGCTTTTGCAAGATACGTGAATTATTTTTAACCTCCTTAAAAGCACGTTCTCGATGAAACGTGCTCTTGCTATTTTACGTACGAAGAAAACAAAGAGATAGTTTATGCAAACCGCGTGGTATTCGCGGTCGTGCAAAAGCAATTAAACACGT